ATCAGAGAAGAAGAATACCTTTAGCTAAGATCAGGGGAGGTGGTACGGCCGGTGGGGTAGAGTTTCTCCTTGGAATCGCCTACAGCAGCTTGTTATCGCCCCTGAACCCCTAAATTCTAAACCCTAAATCTGAAACCCCAAACTCCAAACCCCAAAACCCTAAAACCTTAAACTCTAAACCCTAAACCCTCAACTCTCAACCCGAAACCCCAAACCCCAAACTCAAACCCCAAAAAGCCTAAACCCTAAACCCTGAAACCTCAACCCTAAACTCTAAAACCCTAAACCCCTAAAACCCTAAACCTTCAATCCTCAACCCTAAGCCCTAAGCACTAAGCCCTAAATCCAAAACCCGAAACCCTAAACTCTAAACCCTCATTCCCAAAACCTTAACCCCAAACCATAAAAACCCTAAACCCTAAACCGTAGGTGTAGGAGTTGCCCGAGTTTTCATCTCGAGTATATCCTTCTTCTTTTTCCTCCGAGTAACAAGAGTAAATCATGTGTCATCATATCCAATAGATTGTGCAGATGTTGAAAGAGGCACACAAGATGGTGTCATCTCAATTAAATTTGTGGTAGGTACCTGAGATGAAGAACTGGTCTCAGAAGATGATGGTAAAGACATTTGCTTACTCGTAATGCACAAAGGCAATTCTAATAGTGATGTCCTAACATGGTCTTCTATGGATGATGAAGAAGTTATTGGATTAACATCTCCAAGATCAAATCACTTTAGTAGAGCCTTAATAGGGGAATTAGAAGCTAACTCATTTAAGTCTGTCTCATCTAAAGAATCTTTAATATCAGTTGAGGAATGTGTATTTGTCTCTACTAAGGAATTTGTATCAGAGAAATATGAGGCTTTAAAGGACATCTTATATGTGTTTATGACAGGTGAGGCATTATCTTTAACTTGATGACTATGAGAGGTATCACGGTTAACCTGCTTACCAACTAAACGTTGGCATAAGTGGCCAAAAACCTGGCACTTTTCATAACTCTTCAGCTTCCTAGATCACAATTAAATATAAGCTCAATTTAAACATCAGCTCCACACATATTTGATGAGCCACTGTTGAACGTGCATAACACTTTTTTGAAACGTTTGCATATAATCTCCACCATTCAGAATGTGTAACATAACTAGATGCATCACATATCCAAAATTCAGATTAGTCCAACGGTAGACAGAGGAAAAATAGGCTGATGCTCTAACTATTATGCGAGTGGTTTTTTCTAGAAATCTTCAAACGGTAAGATTTCTCTAGTGGTGTTAAATATAAACAATATCTCTAGTCAGAATATATGAAATATAGGGACACACAACATACCCTAAATTGTATTGATCCAACGACGATTGCAACAGGTTTGAGGGGGGTTTTTAAAAAACTTTGAACAATTAAATTTCTCAAACTATGGTAGATATTGACGATCCCTTTGGTCAGAATGTAGACAATGGTGAGGTGAACAACAAATCCAAATCTTGGCCTGATCCAACGATGGACGCTAGTGATATGGCAGTCTGATCACCACCCCTTCTTATCTTTTCTCTCTAACCTCTCTCTAACTTCTCTCTCTAGAAGTGCACAAATGAACCCCCTTAAAACTAAAATTTCAAACCCCAAACCCTAAACCTCAACATCCCAAACCTTGAAGCTCGAAATTAGAAACTTGGAGCCCGAACCCAAAACTCAGAACCCCAAAACCTGAAATTTCAAACCTAAACCCCAACCCGAAACTCAAACCCCTTGAAACTCAAAACCCAAACCCTAACCTGAAACCCCTAAATCCAAAACTCCTAAACCTGAAACCCCAAACCTCAAACCCTAAAACCCCTAAACCCCATGTTATCTGGTGGAGAGTGTGTATCAATATCTTCTAAGGATTGTAAGAATGCTTGTGGTATATTTGATAGAGTCTCTGTTTGTTGTTGTTGCGCCCTAATTACTCCTGCAGCTGCTGAGGTTAAAACTGTATAAAATGCAAACAAGCTTGTTATGATCAAGTTGCACCTCTTGGCAAGAGGACTCATCATCACCACGTAGATCAATAATATATATATCAAGTTGGTCACTAAGTACCATAAAATCCACTATAGAGAATTCACTAGGATAAAAATAAAAAAAAGTAAGGTGAATAAGCTTTTCTTTGTTGAAAGTAGAGAAAAAGTCACTTGGGTTTAAACATGTCACACAAAGAAATAGCTTCGTACTCGTCTCAATAAAATGATCATCCAACTTATTAAGTTGCATGTTAATGGTATTGTTAGACAATTTATAATAGAAATGGTATAGGTTTGTAATCCCTTTAGATTTTCGACTTGAACACCCACGAAGCTTGTACTCATCATCTATGTTTAAAATATCAATATCATGTTTGATACAAAAAGATGACACTTCTTCCAGCAAAGATTCTTAATCATTCTCTCTCATCATTTTGAATCGTTCCTTTAATATTTTCAATAAACTCATAGCATTTTCTATGTCTTGATGTTAGTATACTTCTCAAATAATGAAGCATGGACTCAAAATTAAATGATTCCATAATACCCATTAAAATGACTGATTTTGTTCTTTGTTCTGAGTTCATTCTATCCTCCTTTATAATCTCAAGCACATCAAGAACTGATAAAAACATTCCAAGTTGAAGAATAATTGTAACATAGTGGGAGCCCCAACGAGTATCACCATACCTTCTAAAAAAAGTTTCTTGATTCAGGCCTTATCTACTAGAAATCTCTTCATTTTCAAGTCCTTCAATAATTATAGCATATTTTTTTTCTTTAATCACCTCCATCCTTTTATATAATGCTCCAACTATGTTTATAATGCTAGAAATAAAATTAAAGACATCTTAAACTTTATTATGCACTTGGATTATTATTTAGAATAAGTGTTTTCAAGTCATTCAATTCACCTCACATATTATTAGCTTAAACATATCCTTGACTATGCAATTTTAATATGTTTAGCCTATGTTTAGAAAAACAAAGTTTCAATAGCTATCTTGAGTGAATTAGCAGTTGTATCTAACACATGTTGAATTCTAAAAAAACATTCAATTATATGTCCATTATGGTCTAAATATTGTAAAATAACTGTTATTTATTCCTTGATTGATATGTCACGTGACTCATTAATTAAAATTAAAAATAATGAGTCACCTAAATATTTGATAATCATATTTATAATCTCCTCTACAGCAGCTTGAGTAATGTCTTTTTGAATATCTAAAGAAGTCAATTTGTTATGTTTAGAAGCTTTACTGAAAGTAACTCTTTTAATAGCTTTATTACTTCTGGAAAGGAAATGCAAGAGCTCTAGATAATTTTCATTCTTGCTTGAACATTCACATTCATCATAGCCATGAAATGGAAGTCCTTGGTGCAACAAAAAATAAGCACACTCTATTGAAGCATTCAATCGAGTTCGATAATCATTTTAACTCTTTATTGTCTACTCAGATAACAAAGTTATAATACTTTGTTTTTCATTCATCAAACTCTCACATTTTATCTGAGCTACATTGTGACTACTATTAGACTTTCTAATATGAAGATTAAATCTTTCCTTTTTTTTCCAATTTGAAAACTCATCACCCATAAACGAATCAACACCTCCTTTTGACTTGAAGAAGTAACAATACAATAAAAGGTGGCATCTTTAGCTATATTGTACTCTAACCATGTTGGGTATACACCAAACCAAGCCGAATTAAAGCTTTGTAGTTTTAACATATTCTCAAATTTGTTTTAAGAAAAATCGTAGTGTGAAGGTTGATAAGGACTTTTTTTGTAAATAAGCTTTTTGAATTGCATTCCTATTATTTATATGGTATTCATAAATTAGTCTTCTTAAGCTAGAGTCAGCAAGAAGAGTGTCAAGGTTGGTTTCAATATAACTTTTCTTTAAACTTGATTGAGTTGCATGACATGAAGCTTTAACTGATTCTTCATCCTCAAAGAATTTACACTTAAAATACTTATCTAGTGACATGTTAATTTAATATGAACCTGCTGGATTTTTTTATCATTATTAATGTCTACATAACAATTAACACAACTACATAATAATTCACTGTTAAACAAAAGTTAGTTGAGTTACACAATAATTCTAAATTTTTCATATAAAGTTCATAGCAAAATACACATCAATTCATCAAAATCAAAACCTATTTCAATTCATATCTATATGCATATAATAAGTATGTTGATTAAATTATATTTAATCATTTCTAGACATTTAATTGAGAAACAATGCCTAATGTATGTGTAAGGAGAACAATGCTTGAAAGCCATGTTTTCTACTTGATATTTTACTTACAAACAAATCATGTGAAAATAAATTTTAATAAACTACTCTGTCAATGCAAGAGATGCCAACAATAGTGGTTTTGCATGAATATTAATTTATTCCTTTATAATAAGAAAAGAAACACTTAATAGATTAAATTAGCATATTTAAACATTTATTTTGAATATATTTATATCAAAACCCCTAAATTATCATAAACCCTAATGTTTTAAATATCTAATTATAAAAGAATAAAACTAAAATTAGATAATAAAACAAATAGAAAAGATGAAGAAAATTTATCTAAAGCATAAAGCAAAAAGTAAAAAAATTAATTGCTTAATTATACTTGATAAAAAAAAATTGCATATGGAAGAGGCATGGAATGAGAGTTCATGAAAAGAACAAAAAAAAACTTTGTTAGTCAAGAAAATGATAAAAAAAAAAAGGAAAAAGAAAAAAAAATTAAGGCAATGAGTTGCACTTATATATATGAGTCAACATTAATAAACAATAATAACAACTTTCCTTCCGTATAAGAATAATTCACTAAACAAATATATTAATATTTTAATATAAAAAATATTAAAAAAAAATTAAGGGGCAATTCCCCTTTTCGAAATATTAAAAAAAAATTAAGGGGGCAATTCCCCTTTTGTTTTCCTGTGGCTCCGCCACTGCAAGAATATATCGTAAAGTGCTTGATTTACTAAAAACAGGTGGACTTGCGGCATAAATTAGCATTATGCTAACTAGGTAGCTACTGATCTTGATGCACGTGCAGTTAGGTTTGCTTCATTTTTTTTTTAATGGCTTTAAAATTTGATGAAGCATCCTAATTAAAGAGACCACCCAGTTCCAAGCCAAGCTGTCTCAGATTCTCCTTTTCTACAACTTCCAATTACAATACAAGATGGTGTTGGCTTGGCTAGGTGCTCCTAACCGATGTGGGGTTCCTCTCTGGACGCCGATCCCGTGTCCCTGTCGTTTCCACCGGTCAAAATTTCTGTGGCTTGGAGATGTCACTGATCCTACTACCATTAATCCCACTTGTCTATTTTGTGTCTTGTTAGCTAAAAGTCATGCAAAGAAAGACTAGAGACATGAAACAGCATTAAACAACTTGAATTAATCCAATTTCAATTTCATAATATGGATACAGAACATACATAATCGGAAGTTCTTGCTCAATTTCACTAGGCTTACCAGCCGATTTAAGTTTTTTAGTGTTTTCATTTCACTAGGCTTACCAGCCGATTTAAGTTTTCATCGAGTACAGAAACGAGGCCATGCCTGCTCTGCCCAGTTAAATGACACCCCATCCCTCGGCAAACTATTTACTTGCAGAGGAAAAGCTTGCTTTGACCAAATGTAACAAATCTGAGTTATCAATGATTCTGTCAAAGAAAACAAAAGGGCGATCGGAAAGTTTATTTTGTACACTGTCTACCCTACCCATCAAACGAACCATGTTGTTCATTGCCTTATCTTTTCTTTTTCAATCAAGATCATCAGCTTGCACTGAAATATACAGTTTACTATATCTTCCGAGGCTATACACCAATATACATTATGAAAACTATACGATGGACACGAATCATAGCAAAGGAAACAGAACGAATATGTTTTTATTGCAAGTAAAAAGAGGTCGAACAAGAAAAAATTTCTCCGAGGGCGGTAGCAGAGAGTATGATATTTCCTTGCATGAAGCATAGTCAGTCAAGTGTTCTTCTCCAAAACAGATAGTGCTGGTGTCAAATAGTTGTTTGCTTTGTCAGGTAAATGCGCCACCTGCACAAGAAATACATATTGTAGTCTTAAATTCTATCCAAGCCTACGAATATATATATATGATAGTTTTATTCTTTTGCATTAAAAAGCTACTATATTTGTATGTTCCTTACAAGTTCATAGAGCTCCCTCCCTTGCTCAGCAACGTATTCGTAACAGACCTGCACAATCAAAATTCAGTCTTCCATCTAACTTTAGTTAATCTCAAACCTAAACTGAATGTTACCCACATCAAAGCTCTTGTTTCTTGCAGTCGAATCGTGCAATGCCTTCACGCAGATATCAGCCACATCAGCACAACTAATTCCCTAATTTAAGCAAAAATATTAGGATATTGAATTAAGTTCAATAATGTCCTCTTCTATGCTGAAGAATAATTAGTTCTCACCTGAGAAATCCTATTTCCTTGATCAAATATTAGTGCACGTTGACCACCTGGCTCCTCCTGCGAAAAGCAAGCTTTCATTATGTTTTCCATGTTGGGGCTGGGCTTGGACTGTTCAAACATCTAATTTGCTAGAGATAAAGCAACTCGAATAACTATACATTAAAGAATTTACATCTACAACTACCAGTTGTCCATTGAGATTTATCTAGGACAACTTTAGGCAAGATATCAAAAAAAGACTGCAATGACACTTGGAGATATTAATTAGAAGCTGCTATTGACAAAAATGATTTCTTCAGATCAATTTACAACACAGAAAAGCAGCAATCGAACTTGTGTCTTTCTATGTACAATGACATACTGGTGTCACAAACTCTATAACACTTTCTCCTCTCAGAAACCAAATGCTATTAAGATATGAGTTTGTTGGATATCAACACCATGCTAGTCAAGAAAAAAAAAATAGCAATGCTTGTAAGCACTAATGTTGATCTTAAAAGAGGTCAGTCATCCACTGCTGTATGGCTAATTAATGTTAGAATTCTGTAGACAAGAACAATAATTACCTGTAGGGGACCAGGGCGAATGATTGTGTATCCAAGTCCTGATCTCCTCAGCGAGTCTTCCCCGGCCTGGAAAATGTTTGACCGACAAGTGTGACTAGGCAAGAAAATAAAAAGAAAGGAAAAAATCAGAAAATGGTGCTAACCCTCTTGGCCTTCAGAACTTGTTCCCTTCTTGTGGGTTCCACTCCTAATCCTGTACATGAGACCAAGACAAAGTCTGTTTCTTGCCCAGTCTGCATACCATTCATAATAGTCTTAATAAACAGGAAAACTTCTAGTTTCCAAATATAACTCTTAGAACAGAAAAGATTATCTAGATGTTATTTTGAGCAGCAGTAGCAGAGCACTTACAGGTAAAGCTTTTATGTATTCCAATATAAGCTTAAAGCTTCTCAGGTCTTGCTTCGCTCCTGCAGGTGCTTCAACAGGTCTCTGTAGCAAGAATATTGAATATAATCAGCGTAGCTGGACCAAAACCAAAATGCAACTCCACAAGGTCCATGCTTGTAAAGCACATCATAAAAAAAAATCCTTTAGACCACATCTTTTCTGGAAAATCCAATTTTTCATTCACGCAAAAAAAAAAGGAAGAAAAACTAAAATGCAAAGTTCCATTTCTTGAAAGAAAATAGACAAACTAGCAAATTCACTATAAAAAATAATCCTAATGGCAAAACCAAATTATAGTGACAAGCAATGCTTCAAACAGTAATACAGATAAGCAATCACATCAAGAAAATACATGTTACCTTGAAAAGGAAGCCATAACTAGCTAAGATGCCTTACATTACCAACACGTACTGATCATGCATGAAGTATGTATGGATCTGCTGACCTATAACTTAAGCTTTTAGACCAAATTCTCAAGCAACTTCTTAACAAATTATGTAGTGACAACCACAATGGAAAATTGGAAATTGTGGATCCAGTTAAAGATTTCAGCATGTTTCCAAAAGAACTTTAAAAATGAAGAATTCTCCTCCATGGAAAAGTGATTTTCATGTGATTAAATCTTGTCACGTAGTTGCTTTAACTGTATTTTATCCAATTTGGGGCAATCTTAACAATGAGTGGCATCTCATCCCAATCAATTAAGCCAAATTCAAATAAGAATTGAGATATAAAGACCCAAGGCAAATAAAAAAAACCAATCATCTCACAACCATTGAAAGAAAATGAATGCTGAAATCTCATATTAATGATACTTTTCATTCTAAAACGAAACAGCATAATATTTCTTTAGTATTTTTATGACAATTCACTGATAGACAAACCTGTCTTCGGGGCTCAAAGCGGATTGTCATTGTGTGTACAAGAAATGGGTCCAATGGCAGATCATCTGGTTTTACAGGGCGGAAGGCAGAAAATGGCACTCTTACCTGCCATTTACACAAAACAGAAGCTGTTAAAAGAAGAAATTGGAATCTGGATCTGTATAGCACTAAAAGAAAGGTATCAGAGATGCTCACCCTACAAAATCCTACTTTGGTGCTAATTCTTGCAAAATACAATTTGCTTTGAGTTGTGTCAACTGAAGGACCAGCTTCGAGTATCAAAACATAAGATCTTCCATTTCCACCAACAGAGAGCACTAGACCTTCATACCTAACCCCAAGGAAAATTTTATTTTAGGAGTGTGATAAGCATTCAAGGTGGATGCGAAAGAATAAGCCATCAGGAAATCTATTAACATCCAGCTTCTAGTGATATAAGGAGCTATTGATCTTTATGTATCACGTACCTGTCAAGAGTATAACCCAAAGGAAGTGATAGCTTTTTTGACAATTCAACATAGCCTCCCCTAGTGAAAACATACCCTATAGGCGAGATGAATAACAGAGTAAAAGAAAGCATGCATAGAACTTTTAGCAGTTGTATATACAAAACTTTACTAAACGTCAATGTAAATGCTGTCTCTCTCAATTATGTTAGCACATATTTCACCTGAGAAAACTGCATCTCCGGCCTCGGTGAACTCAAATTTAGCATCCATTCCTGCATCATACTTCGAAGCAACTGCATCCTGGAAGTAAGTTCCTTGACGAACGTCCCAGCCATTCAATGAATCTGCGGATTTGAACTTTGCAAGCAAGAGCTTGCTTTTGCTGCTTTTTCCGGCTCGTAGTTGAGCTAGTTTGTTGTTGTAGTCCTGCAATTTTGTAATGTGTAATTACTCAAAGACATGACAAGGGAGGTTTGATTCAGCTGAAAATGAATGTGAGACACTACCTGAAGGGCTTTGGTGAGATTAGAAACCCCTTGGTGATCAACTCTGAAAAGATCTCCAGTGATGGAAGACCGAGCAGTGGCACAATATATGATTTTGTTGCAGCCCACCACCGCTGCCTTAAGGGTAGAGGGATCTCCCACATCCCCTATCATGATCTCCACTGACCTGGGAAGCATGTTCACAACTTCCTCATCTGGCTTTCTCACCAAAGCCTGCATTAATTAATTAATTAATACTAAGAATTATCCAAAGCCTGCATTAATTAATTAATTAATATACCAAGACTTAAGGAATCAAGAATATTAACCCCAATAATAAGGGGGAGGGAGAAGAAAGACCTTCACAGTGTAACCCCTGAGCATAAGTTTCCTAACAACAATGCGGCCAATGCGACTGGTGGCACCAACAACAAGAACAGTGGTGTTCTGGGCACCAGGGATAGCAAACTCACACATGGGACCCTCCCTGATGAGCAATGCATCAAGAGCTTCCTTGTCATCTGCACGTGTTGTTCTTGATATCTGTCCCAACCCTGAGAACTTCCTCCACACCTCATTGAATATCTGCCTTGACTTCCTTCCAAGTCCAACAGGGTTTACATCCTCCAAATTCAGTGGTTGCTGCTGCTTTGTTGTGCTTTCCTTGTTATATTCTTTCATATTCTCTGTCTCTGTCTCCGTCTCCTTCCTGTCCTTGATTGCTCTCACCACAACTAATGTGCTCTTCTTGTGGCTGTTCTTCACTGTTGAGATCGGGAGAGATGTGTAAATCTTGCGGTGTGAGGTGAAGTTGAAGTGATTGCTGTTCGTCAAACTGGCACTCGCATTTGTCGTTGGAGTCACACTTGCACTTGCTGCTACTGCTGCTCTCATCTTTTCTGTAAATTCTTGCTACCACTGATTAATGATTACTGACTAAATTTGGTTTATGATATAATCAACAAATGATTATCCAAGTCTCTTCAACATGCAATATATAGTAGGGTAGCTACTCCTCTTCTGTCCATGGCAGAACTCGGACAACTGTTCGTTTTCTTCTGACAACTTAGAAAAAAATACTTAATTATATGCATATATGCAGAAATTGAATTTATGAGTGGATAATTGTGACAAGAAAGATTACAAAAACCAGGAAAAACAAAAGGGGAAAAAAATGGTTGGCTGGTGTTTCATGTTTGAGGCTTGAGAGATCAAAATCATAAGGGCAAATAAATGATAAAAAGAAAGAAAAAATGGAGACCACATAATATTATTTGAGGTTTCCGACGGCTGCAATTAAAGCCACCAAACCTGCCACGTTCACATCCCATTTTCCTCTCATTCTTTTTTTTTTTTTTTTTAATACTGACCTCATTTTTCTTTTTCAAATTTTCTCCTGTGGCGTTGATTAGAGTGAGTGAAATGAATCCGTGTACCTTTCATTTCTAGCATCAGCTACTAGTCCCAGCAAATTAAAATGTTGTTTTCACTCTGCTCATGAGAATATATTAATATATATATATATATATATATAACGAATTGGTGCAAATTAGGAGAATTCTACTTATTTCAACATCTTTAATATATATATATATATATATAACGAATTGGCGCAAATTAGGAGAATTCTACTTTTTTCAACATCTTTAAATAACATGACGTTCTACAAAAAGGGTGGTCAAGTATCTGAGCTCTCAACTCTGAAGGGGGAAACTTAACAGGGTGTGGGTAGAGGCAACGAAGAAGAGAAGAGAAGAAATTGAAACTAATCTCCTCCTCTGCCTTTTTCCCCATACA